AACAATGAAATATGACACCTTTATAAATCTCCAAAATACCAAGTCTTTGAGTAAGAGGAAGTTGCACCCAGTTGAACATCCTACGAAATGTCTCCCGCCCCGACTTTAGTTTATTCCAGGGTTTTGGATTTCTTAAGAGATCTGACAGTGTACCTTGGCTTCTGAAAATAAATCCTCAATTGAAAATGAAGCATTTACACAAGCCCCACGTGAAGCGCACATACAATCCTTTCCTTTTTCAGCTTTACTACAACAAAGATTAACTGTGGTCTTTCTCAAAAGGAATTTCTAAAACTCTTACACAAAAAAGGTAGGAAACAAATGACACAAATGCTTCCAGCTCTGAAATTTCCATTATATCTACCTATTTGATGTTAAATCCATTTTTCACTAACATGGCCTAGTAGTGGCTTCCTTCTCATCTCTACCAGTAAGTATTTTATTTTGAAACCTCGTCAGAGCTAAAATTCAATTTAATGAACACAACTCTCAAAAGAAACGTTGACGATTCTCCAAATGATCTCTTAATTCAAGAAAGAATCATAAAAACACAGGGCCTACCTACAAAGTATCCTCTCTGCAAAAATTGCCTGAGGTATTGAATGCTGTTTCAGCTCCCATGCTATTCGCTTGCAAAGGTCCTTCGTATCGATATATATATCATCATCAATTTCAGCGTTAAGGGGATCAGTTGTATCTTTTGTAGAATATGACGTACGGGAGGCACCTTAAATGAAAATGAAGGCATGAAGGCAATTATCAGCAACAAAGTTTAACTGTTCATACAGGAAAACCAGTGATATAAACAGTCAAAAATCTCAAAATCAAAAAATTGGCTTCATGCTCATAACTAAATAAGCTCAGCAACGGAAGCAAAGTCTAAATCATGATCCCCAATGTACATGTAACTTAAAAAAACCAGTGATTTTCTAATAAAAAAATCCTGAAAACTAAATATACAAAATAGCAATAATTTCACTGTTGTTCTAGAATAGTAATACGCGGCCACATACATGAAACGAAAAAAAAAACGAATAGAAGAAAGTTGAAGAAACTAAGCATGAGCAAATAAAGGCCTAACCTGTAACAACTTCTCTGGAAGCATTTGTTGGAGTCTCACCTACTTCTTCCACTGAAATACCAGGAGCAGCTTCTTCACTTGAGCCAACACCACTGACTTCCAGTTCTTCCGTACTACTCAATTCTGCATTTTCTATTTGATGAGTAAACGTAGACTGTGAAGTCTGGTACAAACTAGACTGCCGCACTGGAGAATCCGGAGGCTGAAGTACAGAAATAATGTTTAAAAAGCAAAAAATTTTACGAATACAATCTGGAAATCAAAACACACTTGTTCACCAGTCATTGTCGCGATGAAGGAACTCGCAATCTCAACGTTACTTACAGCAGGTGGAGTTTCTGCATTAGCAAGCCTGTTATCTAAATCTTGTTGGTGCTGTTCTGTTGGAATAACGGTTGTTCGAGTCTAAAATTAAAAGAGTCAATTATAAAGGAAAATAAATAAGTGCCTCTAGCTAATCGGTAATCAGATCTTATGTCTCACTTCGAAAAGTAAAAGCTGAGACTCACAAGGAAGTAATATTTCCTTCCAGTACGTTTAAAATAAACTTATAAAGCATTACTCGAAAGAAAAAAATGGAAGGGGCGAAAATTAAATAAAAACTTACAATCTGATGTGGTATATGTTGCCTTATGAAAGTATTTGCATCAATCGGGCTGAATCCTTGTGAAATATCAACCTAAAACGATGTTATAAAACGAAGAAACCTCTTACTGAAAAAAATTAAAAGATATAAGTCAAAAAAAAAAACCCCCTGAAGACTGAAATAAGAAACGATTCCAGCAACTAAATTTATCTTACCTCTTCCTTAATATACGTGTTTGGCCTCCTCAGTGCTGAGAGCATATCGCTCGCTCTGCCACCATTTTGATGGACACTTAGCAATGTACCACCAACAGCCGTTTCACCTCGATTGGCATGCAATGGAGAAAGCAAACCAGCTGGACCGGAACTGAAGCTGCAAACGTTTTTCGTATAATCCAGGTGACAATTCTGCTTTTACACCTCTTCAAATTGCTGTCAAAGAAAACCTCATTTTATCAAGGCTTGGATGACTTGACAGCCTTACTCCAGTTGTATGGTGGTGAAGCTCATGCAATGGCTCCAGCTTCATTATACCATAAGAAGAAGAAGTCGACATTGGTGACAAACTGACATAGGGGCTGAATTCGTTGAAATAAGCGTTGTTTTTTATGCACAAGACTTTTTGAAATTATTAAAGATGTTAATCCAAAAAAAAATGTATAAAATTACTGAAAGAATTAACACTTAAATAGAAGAGTACAGTGCAGAAAGATTAAGGCAAGATGACAGAACCAATAGGTTCTCTTATCGTAGAGGAAAATAAATATTTACTAAAAGAAGCTGAAATGTCTAATAAATAAATAAATACACGCAATGAAAAATAAACGCTAACAGCTTTCAAGAATAACTACCAAAATGCAAGAGCTTCCTATAAAACTCACAACAAAGAAAAATAATGAATAACAAATTTTACGCACCTTTCCGATGATGAAAGGCTCATTGGAGCTAACGGTGCTAGTTGTGGACTGTCTTGCTGTGTGCTACTTTGGCTCTGCTGCGGACTTATGCTCTCCAAGAAATTTTCAGGAAGCTCTTCAAAAGGACGATTCACAGAACTATTAAAAGAGAGATTAGGATCAATTTGTAAATGATAGGTTGACGAAGACATCGTTGTTCCACTGCTGTTCATTCCTCGTCTCATCCTGTCGACACTAAACTGTTTTAAATTCAAAAAAAAAAAAAAAAAAAAAAAAAAAAA